ATACAGCTGGGGGACCCAGAAGAGAGTATGGTAAGCACAGAGGTCATACACAGAAGTTGGATAAATCCGAAGTGCAACTGAAATGCAGGTGTTCAGCATTCCCTTAACGGAATCCAGAACAACTGACTGCAAGGACATCTACAAAGTCAGAGGGAGCTGTAATAGATGGGGTTAGGTGCACCTAAAGCATGATCCTATGCAGTTAAGCCCACCGAAAAAATCAGAAGGTTTATTAACATTTGGGTAAGTCAAGAGCTCTCAATAAACATGGGGTTGTGGCGGGTTCACCCACGTCCATTTGCCCCGAAACAACGTTCGCTGCCGAAAGGGAGTCCCATCACTTACTGCAAGTATGGCATGAGGATCACACAGGAGCGGAAGAAAGGTCTTCTCTTGATTTCTCTTCGAATGCACGAATTCTGCTGGAAGCCATCTTTAATGTTCAGGACGTAACGGTTGTGCCACGTAACAAACCGGACCTCTGCCAGCCCTCGGTAGTTGGCTTCTTCTATCAATCGCACGACAGGCTTTTTTAAAATAAAAAACAAACAAACAAACAAACCCAAGTAAATATTTAATAATCCACGCCACTGGTGCAAATATACCTTGGTTTCACCCGCTGTTTGTTTTTTTGGCAGGGTTTTCCAGTTCTGCTGTCATTAAAGATAGTGCTAAGCACTGCTATATGCATTATCCTGAAGGCTGCTACTGCAGCCTTTCCGCCACACTGAAATGAAAGTTTGAACAACTGAGCAGAGGCTGATTAAATTGAATGGCCTTTCCAGTCTTCAGCTTCCAGAAGGAGAGGACACATGTGTTATTTAAACCTCTCTCATGAAAGTTAAGGGTGTTAAGCATCAATTGGGTGCTCCTTGAAGGGCCACTGGTGAGCAGTTGCACAAGGTCTTGTTTCTGCGAACATGTCAAGAGTTTTCCTGTCGACCCATCACTCCCCAAGATCTGACTGTTGCTAGATTGCAACTCCCATCATCCCTGATCATTGGCTATACTGGTTGGATCTGGTGCAAGTTGAGAGTCCAGCCACATCTGGAGTGCGTAACGTTGACTAGCCCTGAACTGGTCAATGGATACTTCCTCTCCTCTTCCTCACCCACCTGTGCCCTGCTGCCAAATCTGCCCTGGAAAGTCTGGAGAAACCCAAGAGCAGTTTGGGGGGCAAAGTAGATTTGGGAAGTCCCACTGAGCTTGCAAAACTTTGCACGCATAGCTATTTTTCTGGATATGGAAAAAGCTACCAGTTTACACACAGCCTTTTCATTTATCCTTGAGCATCTTGCAAAGCAGGTTAGGCTAGTTAACGGTGATTTATAACAAAGACCACGCAGTGGGGGGCATCATGAACCAAGGCTTCCCGCATCCATATCCCCCAACATTATTCCTGAAACTTAAGGGCGGTGGTGGTGGTGAAATACCTCTGAATATTCTCTCCAGCCAAAATGATCCCTGCAGAAATACTTCCAGATGGTGTAGTAGTTGGAGTTGGAACCTGTACACACAGGCGTAGACAGCCTCCTCAGCTGGTCAAATTCAGTCGTGTCATAGAGTGCCAAACCATTCAAGTCGACTAAAAACTCATGGCCCCTGGGGGGAGGGAGAAGAGAAAAGGAAAATAATTCAGTTTTCTCTATCCATTCAAGAAGCGACTGGAAGTTATGACATTTCAGCAGTTGCAAAGCTTTGCCAATTCTTCCTTCTACAGCAGGCATGGCCAAACTGGGCCCTCCAGCTGTTTTGGGACTACAACTCCCATCATCCCTAGCTAATAGGACCAGGGGTCAGGGATGATGGGAATTGTAGTCCCAAAGCAGCTGGAGGGCCAAGTTTGGCCATGCCTCTTCTACAGACTGGGAGGCAAACCAAATGCGACCCACAGTTCTGCAAACGCAACCCCTCAGCCTAACGAACCTTACAGGGTTTTTGTGAGGATGTAATAGGAGGAAGAGGAGAATGATGCATATCAGCTCAATCTCCTTGGGAAAAAGCCAGGGGTATATAAGCAATTTATTAATAAATTAATCATCCACTTTAAAAAAGTGACTTGTGGAAGATCAGGACAAAAGCAACTGGGCTCCATCCTTTCATTCCACAGCACCGTCGCAAATAATCACCCTCTCCCCCAGCAGCTGCTGCTTTTTCGGGAGGGCGGATGCTTCAAATCTGGGACCACGGTGTGTGTGTGTGTGTGTGTGTGTGTGTGTGTAGAAATGGGGTCAAACACCTCCCTGCACATCATAGCAGGAGTTATTTACATTTTAAGAGCATGCATGTCAATTGCATAACCTGACTGACTGGGTTTTGCGCAGGGAGAGAGACATATATATATATTTATTAAAAGCAGCGAACTATTAGGAGCAAGGAATACAAGCCAGAAGAATGAATACAAAACAGAACGCAGGCGTTGTAGGATCTGTACGTCCTTGCCCCACATCAGGGAGAACATTCCTAGGTAAGATGGATTTTCCTTGCATCAGTTCTGGGACAACACCCTCCTCCCCCTCAGTCTGCAATCATGCATAATTTTTGCTGAGAGGTTACACACCTACTTAGGCTATCAGCTGGATGCAAAATGCTAATCAGACAGGAACCAGGCGCACGCTCCCATCCCCCCAAAAACCCCTTGCGAGTCAAATGCTCCAATTCATTTATGATGCCATCATTTAGTACAGTGGTACCTCGGGTTAAGTACTTAATTTGTTCCAAAGGTCCGTTCTTAACCTGAAGCACCACTTTAGCTAATGGGGCCTCCCGCTGCCGTGCGATTTCTGTTCTTATCCTGAAGCAAAGTTCTTAACCCGAGGTACTATTTCTGGGTTAGCGGAGTCTGTAACCTGAAACATATGTAACCCGAGGTACCACTGTACTTCGTCCCTGCGGCCAAAGTTAAACAGGGCATGTGGTCTGTGACGCAACAGAAACGGGGGGCAAAGGAATCACGCTAGATTCTTTGCACTGCACTAGAGCTGTTCTCTAAATCAGGGCAGCGGTCAACGCTCTCCCCCAAATTTATAATCATACGCTTGCCGTCCGATGCAAGACATCTCAAGGTGACTTGAACACGCAACTGAAGAAAAGCACCACCAAGTTTAACAATAAAAACAATACCCACCCCTCAAAAGAACAGAAACAGCAGTGAATGAGATTGCCATATCCCCTCAACAGCTACAAAGGTAAAGGTAAAGGGACCCCTGACCATTAGGTCCAGTCGTCGCCAACTCTGGGGTTGCGGCGCTCATCTCGCTTTATTGGCCAAGGGAGCCGGCGTACAGCTTCTGGGTCATGTGGCCAGCATGACTAAGCTGCTTCTGGCAAACCAGAGCAGCGCATGGAAATGCCGTTTACTGCTACATATTTTCTCCAAAAAAGCAGGTGGTTTGTAAAGGATAAACAGGGCAGAGCGCCACATTCCTTGCTGCACTTCTGCAATAACCCAGTGGGGAGCTCTATTAAGAAAAAGTGTTAAATTGCTGACAGAGAAGAAAGCCAATATTGTTTGTGTTTTGGAAGAAGAGAAATAGGTTGCTGTATTGAGGGGAGGGAACGCTTACAATATGTGAGGAGGAATAAGTGATCTGGCACCACCACCTCTGAGTAAGAAACATGCTAGCTGTGGCACAAACCTTTCTATTCAACAGCCTACGTCACCAGATGCATAAAAGCAGCAAAGATCCATTTGTGCCATGACATTTAGTAAGAGCACTCCACACACAGGCAGGCAGAGATCATCGAGCTCCAGATTACGACATGTTAATGTGTAATCCGTAATGACTGGTGGACTTTACTTCTTTGCGGCAACTTAGCTCCGCTATCAAGGAAACTGTTTTGCAAATGGGGAAGTGCAAGCTCGATTAGGTGCCGCGCACCTGTTGCCAAGTCACCTGCTAAAACTTCTCTTTCAGTCACCTGTGCAGGAAGAAGGGAGGTGAAAAGATAAGATGAAAAGATAAGATAAGCAAAAGCTATTGATTTTCCCCCAGTTACAAGATTTAAGCTGCGGTGGATTTGGCAAGACAACTTCCCCAGCCGCATTCCCTATAAGCATGCAACTTCAGGGATGCTAAAGTGTAGCTTGGGGTGGGGGCACATTGAGTGAAACACCACGGGGGGGGGGCACTTACAGCTGCCCTACAGCTGAGGGGGAGGCAGTGACAGAGAGAAGTCCAGAATCAGATGCTGGAATGGGTATTAAGTACAGTAGTGCCCCGCAAGACGAAAAAACTCGCTAGATGAAAGGGTTTTTCGGTTTTGCGTTGCTTCGCTAGACGAATTTCCCTATGGGCTTGCTTCGCAAGACGAAAACGTCTTGCGCTTTTTTCTTAAAGCCGCTTGAAGAGGCGCAGTTGCGACGGACCGTGCTTCGCAAGACGAAAAACATCGCAAGACGAAAAGACTCGCAGAACGAATTATTTTTGTCTTGCGAGGCACCACTTTATGTAGTTCTTGACTTCACGGTGCAACAAGAGCAAGCACATCTATCACAATAAGTCTACGGAATGCTCTCCCCAGGGAAGTTCACCTGGTGCCTTCATTATACACCTTTAGGTGCCAGGCAAAAACGTTCCTCTTTAATCAGGCCTTTGGTTGATCCAATTTACATCCTATGCCCTTTTAAAATGTTTCTTTGGGGGGGGTATTGAGTTGCTGTTTTTATTTCTATTAGGCATGCTGTGGTTTTATATCTTGCTTTTATTCTGTGAACCACCCTGAGACGCCCCAGGTATAGGGCGGTATATAAATTTTAATGAATGAATGAGTGAATGAATGAATATTCAATGAAACTGAATTTTGGAAGATTCAAGGAATGGAAAAAGAAGTGAATCTCTTCACACAACACATAGTTAACTATGGCAAATTAACTACGGCAAATCCTTAATAAAAATAAAATAAATAAAATAAAAATAACTATGGAATTTGCTCCTACAAGAGGCAGTGATGGCCACCAACTTGGATGGCTTTAAAAGAGTATTAGACAAACAGTTATCAATGGCTATCAGCTTGCCCTAGATGAGAACCTGGCAGCCTCCTTTTTGGGGTCTGCCCTGTGCAGTAACAGGTATTAGCATTCTAGCAGCAGCTTGATGGTCATGCATGATACTGCATACAGATCTGTTGCGACATGCAGAGAAAACCCAGACTGCATTCTGTACCGTCACTGACGGACTTAGATATGGCAATACAGTATCTGAATTTAAAGACAGGCAAACGTCATAGGCTCAGGCTACAAGGGGTAAATTGCCCAGTTTCTTCCACCGTGGTAGACCTAGTCGTAGAATTGCAACCTCCACTTGTTATAGTGATTAAACTTTGTCCCTGTTTCAGATTGGCTCTGGGCAACATATTATTCAATATTATCAATTTATTCAAGACTGCCTGTTTATTAAACTGAATGAATTATTTGGTATATGCAAAGGGATTTGAGGAGGAATGCGAGTCCTTAAAAGTGTTTTTGGAATTTGAAACAGAATTAAAATTGGTAATCCTTTCCAAAAAAAAATAATAATAAAAGAAAAAATAATCAATGGCTATCAGCCACAGTTGCGTTCTTCTACCACCACCACTGTCTAAGGCAGGATGCCTCTGAAGACCTGTCGCTAGGAATCCCAGGTGAGCAGAAAGGTGCTGCAGATGTCTGCAAATGTAAATGGGGAAGAGTGCTAAGATGCTCAGGTCCTGTCCTCCTGGGTTTTTCAGGGGCATCTGGTTCCTCAGTGAGAAAAACAAGATGCTGGGCCTGACCCAACAGGTGCTTTAATGTTCTTACTTGGTAGTTAAGTTTTGGAACACGGTTCAGCACAGCTTAGGTGAAAACAGCATTCCCGACATAGTTTTAATTTAGTCTCAAGTGTCGAGAAACACAAGGCAAATGAGGCCAAATTCAGGTTGCGGAACGAATGTCATCTGACTGGTTATAAACAGTTTCACACTGATTTTTGCGCTGGAACTATGGAAAATCAAGCAAAAATTTTCCAAGGCACATAAAACACTGGCGATGGGAAGTAAGCTACAAAGAGGAAACCAACAGCAACGGACCTCTTTCACCTTTAACATTCTGCACCCAGGTGCATGTTACAAAAAAGCTTTCGGCAAAATATATACGTAAGCAAGTGCAGTTTTGCATGTGCCTGTTTACACAGATGCAGATACAGTTTCAAAGAGACCGCCCCAGGATACAAAACACGTTGGAATCACCTTTGGGAATTTGCAAACAAACAAGGCCTTTAAGAAGTGAGGGTCCCACTATCCATTTTCAGGCTATTTAAAGCTGTTTCCAAGGCTTATTTTAGCTTTGCAGAAAACCTTTGCTCTGTTTAGGGCTTGCTGAATATTAGCCCTATGGGAGCACCCCATTCCCACGCAAGGGGAATTGAAAGTGCCATGTCTTCTTTTACAAGCACTGGTTGCAAAGCTTTGTGGCTAGAAGCAGTCAACACTGGACAGATCTGGGAGCCCCTACATATTTCAGCAACGTGGCATTTCTGCTCAGCTCTGATAGACAAAGCACCGTGCAAGAGGTTTAAGTACCATTAATTCTGTACCTACAAAATGTAGATAGGTACAGGGTTGATGCTACCTACTCAACAAACCAATTTCTTTTTTTTACAATGCTACCGAGAGTTTAAAAAGCAACAAGCACATTGGTGTTATGCAGACAGCTTGCCCTGCACGCTGCTATTTGATTACATTTTGATCCTATCCTTGCTCCAGAGAGTGCACAGATGGTACTTTCTTGTTCATTTTATCTTTCCATCTCACCTAAAAAAAAAAATCCTGCAATGTAGGTTAGGCTAGAAGGCTGTAATTGGCCAAAGGTCACCCAGTAACCTGCATGGCTAAGTGGGGATCTAGACCAATGTCTTAAGGATCACACCACACTGAATTCTCCAAGTTTCTCCCCAACCCATCACCTCACACCTGTGACCCCCCCCCCAAAAAAAAATCATGCACACCTGTGCCCATCAAATGTGCTGCAAAATTGCTTGGGAGTTTTCTTGCACACACGCTGCCTTGAGTCCTGAGTGTGAGCCAAGCTCAAGTGCTCCTAAAATGAGTAGCAGCAGTTTAGGTTTTAAAGTGAACAAGGCTAACATTTTTGAGTGTCAGAATGAAAACCATCAGCAATGCCACACACTCTGCCTGAGGGTCGCCCTTAATTGTAGGCAGCCGGATGAGTGGCTATTTACAAGCCTGCATTATTTTATCCAATAAATACAGGTATGGGAGATGAATATTCCCCAAAGGTGCTAGACATAGTCTGTAGAGACAGGGCAGCAAGCTGACCTACCTTACTGGGATTTTGGGTGGATAAAAGGGTCATGATATAAGGTCCTTCAAAGAAAGGTGGGGGCCAAAGATGAATAAATCCCCTAGTGACTTTACAGAGGTACCTCCACATTACCAAGCCACCCAATTCATAAATAATTTAGTATTATTATTGAAAATCACCAGGAGGAGCCTATTCCACCCGGCCTCTCTTACAGTATTATATTTCTGATTTAATAAAATTATTCCTATGCTTGCTTCGATATGAAGCGCTCGCAACCTCAATAAAGCCGTTCAGAATATTAAAACAGAAAGCATACTGGGATGTTATTGTCTCATTTGTTGGCAGCCGGTTGAGATGGAGAAATAGCCGAAGTCTACATATTTTATAAGCCCACTGCATGTTCAACGGGATATTTGAGAATTTAATCTGACAAGTGCATTAGTGAGACTTGATAAATATTGATTTGCTTGCACATTCCAAGGGAACAACTCTGGTTTATATTGTATATTTATGCTACGGATCCCCAGGGGGTTTGAGTCCAGGTTTATCATCTCTTAATATTACAGCCAACGCAACAGCCTCTTTGGAAACTCACCTACAATTCCAGCCTTTGGGAGCCTGGACTGTTTTTTGTGTGTGTGCCCGTAGCAAAATTTATTAAGTACTTTCTAGATAGTCAAGGGATTTTAGAAGAGAGCAGAAACATGTAAGATTAAGATTTTTTCTTTTTCTTTTGCCAGGAAGAACTTGTTTTTGACAGAGGAGGATGAACAAGGAAGCCTAACTGCACGAGAGTAGATGTCAGCTTTATTTAAAATTGTGCGCTCACCTTTCAGCACAATTGAGATCAGCTGGAGAAGACTTGCCATTGGGGGTGGCCGTTCTGCCCGGGAAGTTCCTTATGTGACTGCAAGGATCCCCACCCCCCATCCTCAGTGCACTGCAATGATGTGATGCCCTCTCAAAGAGGTGCATTGTGTGAATCCTGAGCAAGCTGACATTGGTTTGCCCAGGTTCCTGGTCATGGGAGTTCTACTCATGTATATGTGGCATGGACTAGTTCGGGGCAGGGTGGAGAGGGAAGCACACAGAGGCATGTCGGGGGCATGAATACACCTCAAAAGTCCTAACAAAGGCACCCCCAAACTCGGCCCTCCAGCAGTTTTGGGACTACAACTCCCATGATGCCTAGCTAACAGGACCAGTGGTCAGGGATGATGGGAATTGAAGTCCCAAAACAGCTGGAGGGCCGAGTTTGGGGATGCCTGTCCTAACAAAGTGGAATTGTCAGTGGTGCTACTTGGGACACACAAGCACTTCTGAAGGAAGGCTGTTTCCATACGCCTTTCTAAGTACAAGAGATTAGTAGACAGGATGAACTTGACTAGTTGAGGATGAACTTTGAATTCCTAACTGCAATTCTTAAGCATTTGCTTGCATAGCTTTAGTCAGAACTCTTGAACGCCACAAGTGCAAAGGTCTGCAGTGGGCTATGGGGCGGAAAAAGTTAAAATGCTGTGCCCTACAGAATATCAGGCCTGGAAAGAGTCACAAAGCCATGGGTTTGTCAGAGCAGCTGCGGTAAGGAAATGACATCCAAGAAAATCTCACATTAGCTGTTGGCCTCTATGCAAAGGCAAAGAATTTTGCTTACTTGTATTTTGTACTGAAGTTCACCCACTCACTTAAAAACCTCCACAAGAGGTTGCCACATGTTTTATGCTCATCTAATTTTAGGTACATGTAAGTAACTCTGGCACAGCGCTAAAAAGACACTCCTCTTGATCCCCATCCCATGACATATCTGTACCTGACTTGAACCAATGGAGTACCACAAATATTACCAGAACCAAAGGGGTACCAAGATTTGTGGTACAAATATTTCCGGCATGTTTGCTGTTTTAAAATAGCCGAAGCTGCACCAATGTTTTGGAATGAGCTTCCACTGACTATGGATGTTTGCTTGGATGGGGAAAGAGGGGGTGGGGGAAAGAAAATAGAAGCCAAGGAACAAGCAAAAAACGAAAAACACTAAAGTCAGGAAAAAGCGTTGTGTCAGTATATGTTAGTCAGCAGGCACACTAGTGCTCAGGAGAGCCTGTTTCTTCGCAATTGGAAATTAAAAGCAAAACAGGAGAGAAAAGGGGTTCAACCCACTTGGAAACAAGGTTGGCTGGGGAAGGAAATGTTCTCCCTGCCACAGTGTGTCGTAGCAGAAAATATTCAATACAGCTGCAAGTTCTGGGAAGCAAGAAACAACTCATCCGGGAGTAGCCACATTTGAAATAAGTGGCTTTGGCTTCTGAAGCCCTACCTAGCATACTTAAGGAAACTACTTCCTTCCGCATGCCTCACTACGATCTCAAAGATCAACCAAGAACTCCCACTTGGTTTCACCTGGGCTGTCAAATGAAGTGGGCAGGTGAGAGATGCCTTCGCTGTGACTCCTCCGGCTGGTAGGGAATTCCCTTCTGCTAGCAAGCAGCCCAAACTCAAGGGGCCCCATCTGCATGATACATTCAAAGCACTGCGATACCACTTTGAACAGTCATGGCTTCTCCACAAAGAATCGTGGGAGCTGGACTTTGTTAACGGTGCTGGTAGTTGTTAGGGAGACCACCTCCTCGCCTCACAGAGCTACAATTCCTGGAGTGCCTTAACAACCAATCCCTTTTCCCCCAGGGAATTATGGCATGTAGATTTTGCACTCATCGCCATTTATTATACAGTTAAAAATGAAAAATGCTCACCAGCCAACATCAAAATTAATGGAGAAACAATCAGCAGCTTCTGAGAGGGAAGAATGATTTCAGAAAGGAGGAGAAAAAGAAATTTTTTGGCA